CTGGGTGGACCTCCACAATTAAGCTCGGAGATGCTTCCATAGCGGCCCCCTTTACATGTCGCTCGAAGGCCCTTATGTCCGTCTGTGACATTGTGCGTCTTGGTCGAAGCACGCTTGTTACGACATTACAAATGTACAAGATTCTTGCTCTTAACTGCCTTACCTCCGCTTATTCCATGTCAGTGTTGCATACAGACGGTGTAAGGCTTGGTGAAAAACAGATGATCCTGTCCGGTGTGATTTTATCTGTTTGCTTCCTTTGCATGTCACGCAGTCAGCCAATGCCCACTTTGTGTCCACAGCGACCGATTACACGCGTATTTCATCCCTACATGATCTGCACCATTTTTATGCAGTTTGCTCTACATCTGTATAGCATGATGCAGACTGTGAAGCTTGTGGAGGAGGTGGATAGCACGGAGGTGGCAAGTATGCGGGAAATTGGGGTTGAAGGGGAGTTTAAGCCAACCTTGTTGAATTCAGCGATGTTTTTGCTAACCACCCTTATTGGTGGTGTTACATTTGCTGTCAACTACCGCGGTGAGCCTTTTATGCAAAGCATGCGAAAGAACAAGCCCATGTTTTACGCACTGATTGTCCTTACTTTAGTCGTCATTTACTTTGCATCCGAGACGGATCCTGAGGGCAACGCCTTATTTGAAATTGTCGCCTTTCCGTCGCAGGAGTTCCGCCACCGTTTCATAAAATTGCTCTTGGCAGACGCCGGTGGTTGCTTTGCCATTGAGTATGCTTGTCTTTTTTTTCTGACGGACTACATCTGAACCGGTTTGAAGAAACACACAGAGACGAAGGAAGAAAGAGGTTGGAGCAGCGGCACAGGTAAAGGGTGACATCTGGCGTCGGGGCGTGCCCTTCAATGAGAGCGATGCGCCGAGAGAACAACAGGAGAGATCCACGCGGGGGGGGGGAAGAAAGAAAAGGGGGCGGGCTAAACCAGAAAGATAGATGAATGTCGGAAAGAAGCATCAAAAGTCCTAGCGACTTATAAGATTTGAAAAGTAATAAATAATATATATACATATAAAGAAGGGAGGAGATAACAAGGAAGGAACATGTAAGAAAACATAAAATGAAAAACAAAAACAGCGACGACAATTATGCTTCCCTTTTTTATTGTTTAAATTTTTTTGCCCTTTCCATTCATTTATTTTGGGTTTACGCTCTCTCCCTCCCTCTCTCTCTTTCTTTTTATCTCTCCCATTTGTTTGGATGCTTTTGCGAGTCGACGTCAAAGACTGTGGCGGTTCTTAAGGCAGAGGGAGGACGAAAAGGAGGAGGACACATATGTTTAGCTTTTTTTTCCCCTTTTTCTTCTTCTGGGCGATGTGATAACCGAGAGTGTGAGGGGCTTTTTTCTTTTTCTTTTTTGGTGGATGGAACGCGCGCATATAATTTACAGGCCAATTATTGTTCCCTATCAATACTTGCCGCTGTTTTTTCTTTGTGTGTGTCTTTTGCCGTCTCTGTGGCGATGATGATGGCTGTACCTCTTCCAGTGGCATCACTTCATTTTTACAAAAATAAGTTTACAGTTTCTTACGCCATTCTTTTTTTTGTCTTCTCTTGGCGACGACACGTGTGTCGGCAATATGATCCTGTAGAATGTAAGCCAGACGGAGGAAAAGAGAAAACACATCGGCACATCCAAAGAAGCGGGAAAAAAACAAAAACAAAAAACAAAAGAAACAAAAAAGGGCAAAAAACAAACAAACAAAAGGGCGGAGGAGGAAGCCAGGGGTGTTGGTGGGTGTGGTGTTCCTTACGTCTTGAGAGCCTAGAACTATGTTGGGAGGTGATGAGGGCTCCGCAACGGTGGCACCCCCCTCAGAAGAGCCGATGCGGCTGTTGAGTGTGCCAGAGTACCTTGAAAGCACGGTGATGGCTGTGCTGACGGAGGGACTGGAGGATCTGTGTCGTCAACGTCCGGCGAACCCGGTAGACCATCTCGCTCTGTTTTTGCTGCGCCGCTCAAAAAGCAACACCGTGACGGAAGTACCAGCCAAAGACGCGATACCCGCTGAGCCTCCAAAGAAATATGAGTAACGTCCCGCCTGTGTGCGCGTGTTTATATGTGGTTTTCTTGAACCCTTTCTTTTTTTTTTTTTTTTGTTATTTGGCATGCCAATATTGTGAAATGTATATGGGTGCCATGCGCGAAGAAGAAGGAAGAGAAGAGCAACCAGAATCTGGTGAGACTGTCTGTTGTGTTTGTTTCGCTTTTTGTTTTTTCGCTGTTGCTGTTTTATTGGCCTTTTCCCCCCCTCTTTTTGGCTTTGTGATGGAATATATATATATTTTCTTACTTTTTTGTTTTTACTTTTTTTTTTCTTCCCTTTTTTTGGGCGTTTGTTCTGCGAAAGTCTCCTGCTCTCCTTTTTTTTTTCCCCGAGACCGTTCACGGGGGGAGGGTGGGGTGGGGTTGGGGGTAAGAGAAGAAGGGCGCGACATTTGGATATGGTGCGGCGTATGGGTTGGTGTTTGTGTCCCACCACGACATTATTTTCATTTCTCACACGACATGCAAACGCCACGCACTTGGAACGCCAACTGACAGAGGCTCGTGCAAGTGTGGCTCTTCTGTCAAACTCGCGTTGTATTTTTGAGAATCTTGCGGTTGAGGAGGCGCTGCTGCGCGGTGTAATCCTACCGCCTGGTCAGCAGTTGTTGTTTTCGTACGTGAACCGCCCGTGTGTGGTTATTGGTCGGAACCAGAACTACTTGCAGGAAGTCGCGGTTTCTGCTGCCAGAAGGGATGGTGTGACCGTCGCTCGGCGGAGTTCTGGCGGTGGGGCTGTGTATCACGACACGGGAAATGTCTGTTTCTCCTTTTTTACTCACCGCAGTGCGTACCACCCTGAGAGGACGATTGAGATAATTCGTTTGTTTCTCTGCTGCGCTTTTGACATTTGCCCAGAGCGGCTGACAACAACGTTTCGGCATGACCTGTTTCTGGATGGGAAGAAAATTACGGGCTCAGCGATGCGGGTGCAGCGGGACATCGCGTGCCACCACTGCACGCTGCTTGTCACATCGTGTCGTGAACGACTCAGCGCATATCTTCAGCCTGAAGGGCAGTACGTCTTTTTTACCACCTCGTCGATTGGCTCTGTTCGCTCGTCAGTCACCACGCTGCAAATGGCGGGGGTTTTGCCAGGAGGTTACTGCAACGACGAAAATATTGATGGTGAAGACGTGGTGCATTATACACAACGATCGTTGGCAGACTTCTTTGTTCGTCATGTCGGTGTTATTACGGCACACTCGACGCCGTGGGGGATCGATCCGTCTATTCTCCTATCGAAGCGGAATGAGGAGACGAAGGGAAGCGAGGAAAAAACATTAAATCCATCGAATGAAAGCGTGTTTCTGTTGGATGTTGTCGGCGCGCTGCGGGAGAACACTCGCATTGTGGACGGTGAGGGACGCAGACCAGCTGCTGGATCTTCGAAAACTGTACTTGAGGAGGTGGACCGGTTGCGCTCTGCCGACTGGATGTTTTCCATGCCCAAGTTCAAGACTTGTGTTGCCGTGACCGAAAAGGATCTTCTTGCGTGGGAGAACGACACGATTGGCCGCTCTTGTGTGCCACCGGGGGTCGTCACGTATCTGATGCAGGGCCGCACTCGGTTTGACATCACGACAGTCGTTGAGAGTCGCCACATAACGAAACTGACGGCGTGTTGGGCGGAAAACGCGGCAGGGGATGTCGATGAAATGTGGTGCGCAGCTATTCTTCGGGCGCTGCTGGAGGGTGTCAGAGTGGATGACCCTACGGTGGATTTGAGTGAGGAGAATGCTGTACTTGTGGCGGCGCTTCAGTTGGAATGCCGTTCTCTTATTGATGGCATGCCACTTTCGCCAAGGGAGGAAAATATTGCTTGTGACGAGAACGGCAGCGGCAGTTTGGATGAACAATCTGCTTTGCTTCTTTTTATGCGGGCGGTGCTATGCGTGTGGCGTGTCAAAAATGTTTTTATACCAGTGATTGCCCAATAGGGTAATGGATTTGCCCTAAAAGGCGGAGCCTTTTGGATGGGGCGAAATTCGGGGGTGAGAGGGGAACGAATCCAGGAGAAGAAGAGGTGAAACACAACGTTTAAACAAATAACACACACACACAGAAACAGACATGTGTGCGTAAATAAAACGCCGCATATGCATAGGGTATTGTTATGTTTGTGTTTATTTCCTTAGTGGATGCATTAAATGTGTGTATGCTTGTGTGCTTTTTTTATACGTGTTGTGTTTTTTTTTTTTTTTTTTGCCTGATGTGCATTGTGTGCCAGAGACGGTGGCTGAGAAGTGCAGCATCAACAAGAATAAAAATTTAGTTAAAGAGGCGAAAAGAGGTTTAGAAACAAAATGCGGCGGATCGCATCACATTTGTCACAGCGGACATATCGAGCGTTGTTTCCTCGAGGCGGAGGATTTTACGCCCCGCCGTTCACTATTTCGACTCGCTTCTACCGAGAAACGTCGCTGTTGCAGGCCCCAAAGACGGAGACTCCCGCGTACCAATGCGGTGAGTGTGGAAAGACGTTTCGACTGCTTAACGCATTGAATCATCACATTATGACAAAGCACGCGGGACACGCGAAGGCGATGGTGCTAAAAGCAGGCAAACTGGAGGAGGTCAAGCCAGAGGAGGCAAAAAACAAGTCATCACATGCTACAGACGCCACGCATGTACCGTCGACAACAGCAACGGGAGCCACCATGTCAGCCACACAACTTCCAACGGGATTTCCCGGCATGACGTATTCTCCTCTTGGAGGCACCGCGGCATTTGGATCACCTCTTGGTGTTGCGTCGATGCCCCTGACATCGACGGCGGCAGCAGGTGCTCCCACCAATGCAGGAAAAAATGCTTCCGGGACAGAAAGTTCCGTGGCCGATGAGGATGCCGACAAGAAACTTTTTGTTTGCACCATTTGCCAGAAGACTTTCCGTTTAGAGGCTGCCCTGCAGCACCACTACCAAGCCAAACATAACATGGAAATGCCGACGAGTTCTACAAGCGCTAGTAGTACTCGAGCGGCATCTCAAAGCAGCACTAATCTGGGGGCGGCAAACGCCATTTTTGGAGGTGCCACGGATGACGCAGCAAAGTCTACTACCGGCGTTCACTATGTTCATAGCCAAGAATCTGTTCTTCCACAGGCACCACAGTATCACCTTGATGTTGCACCTAACGCACCGGAAGAGGGAGATGTGGCAGCTCACTGGCGCTGCGTAAACTACTGCGTTGTGCTGGGCCCTGTGCAGAACATTCAGGAGGGCTACGTATTTGAAGAGAAGGTTGTGCAATTTACTTTAATCACAGACTTTGAAGGTCCCTCTCCCGGAGATCCTGATAAGGACTTTCACACCGTAAGAATTTTTGATAATTCCTTCTGTGAGCAGATGAAAAAAGAACTAAAGGAGGGCGATCGTTTTCTCGTAACTGGTCGCTTGCGCATGATACCACAGTATGACAGTGCGATGAAGAAGTATTATCACTACCCCGTCATTCAGGTACACCCGGGATGTGGGTCTGTTGTAAAGGTGTGATGGATCGCATTTTCTCTCCTTGATGAACTAAAAAGAAAAAAAAAAGGAAAGAAAAGAAAATTGTCTGCGTGAATGAGGGAGTGAGAAACAACGAAAAAAAAAACAACTTCCTGAAGGCGAGTAAAGAGGTGAACCATCTGTGCAGTGGCATTAGGAGGGTATGAAGGAGCCTGAAAAAACGCCATGCAAAGCTTTTTCCTTTACTTATTTG